GCTGTTCAATGGAAAATGTGCATTCAGAAGTGGACATGGCACTGAATATGAGATAATTATTAAGGCATTTCTATTTTGGAGCCCTTCTGTGTGTAGTTTTACATAATAAACGTTAGCGTTGCCTTTCTACACGCACACATGTTCCCTGGTCCAAACAAACAAGCAGTTTTTTGCTTCTTGTCACTGATACCTCTTGAAGTAAGTATCTTTGGCCACAAATAGATCATTGCCCTATTTGAAAAGTTCCTAGTGGAGCGTAGCCAGTTTTGACTGGCTATATATACCTAAGCTGGCAAATCAAGCAACCTCTCAGCTTTTGCTTCTATATATAAAAAGGAATGATATAGAATAAATCAGCTGGACAGGGCACATGTCAAATCAATTTTTCTACCAAAATCATTTTCCTTCTGAGTTTGATTTATTCTACTGAGCCTGAGAGGGCAGCTATAGGAAGCCGTAACCTCTGGTCCCAAGTTTGCCTAGGATAGTCAGGCAACACCAGGAATTTGCTGACAGCAGGTTCTCCGCGTACGCTGTGGCTATAACACCACCTTTCTACGTGCCATTTCGGGAGGGCTGGGGGATCCACCGGCGGGGCCAGCACATCACGTCTCCCAAATCGCTGTGATTGCGCAATGCTGCCGAGCTGCCCTGCGAAGGAGGGGCAGAAATTTTGACCGATAAATGCTTCGTTGTGATAGCCATGCCCTAAACGGGGCATGAAAAATAGGGATTGTGCATAAATGGGTTGGTTTCTCTTTTCAGATCTCCGGGTGGAAATCAAAAAAAGACCCTGGTGAGCGTACCCAAGGGGAAGCCTCCCTGAAGGAGCGTGACACGGCGATGGGGCGAAGCGGATGGGCTTCCTCGGAATTTACGGCACTTTTCGCCTCACGGGTGCTGTTGGGAAGGTGCTGAGCGCCGTGTGGGCGAGGGGAGGGGAGGGAAAGGGAAGGGAGGAGAGGGCAGGGGAGGGCAGGGAAGGGCAGGCCGGGCCAGGCCGCGCCGGCCTCGGCCGGGACAACCGCGGGGGAACGGGGGGGGGGGGGCGGTGCGGCCGCTCCGGCGGCTGCCGCCAGGTGGCGCCCAAGTGCCCGCGGCGGCGGCGGGAGCGGGAGCGGGAGCGGGCGCTGCCCCAGCGCGGGAGAGGGGATGGTGAACGCCCGATTAAACGGCCGGGGCAGCCGAGGTTGGGTTCGCGCTGGGCCCAGGAGGGTCCCCGACTTCGGGCACTACGCCTGGGTAGGAAACTCCTGGGTATTTCTGGCCGTCGCCGGTAACTCTGTGTTGTGGAGCGTGAGGCAAACGTGGCCTGACAGGCGGCAATAGCACAGCTTCAACCAAACCCAGCTTTCTAGGGAGCCCGAAACACAATTACCCAATTTCTTTGCAGTTTTGCTCGATGTTTATCAGATTCCCCCATCATCTCTTCAGCCACGGGGACTGACCCCAAGAAAAGCTTTAGATTCTGCAAGTAGCTCCTGTATTGTGATTTTTTTTCTGTGAAAACCAATCCACGTTTTTCAGCCCAGACTAAAACTGTAACTGCTTCTTGTTTCATTTCTGTCACGCTTCCTCTTGTCTGCTTGGAAGTGAATTTGTTGTCAGATGCTTCCCTAAATGGGCCTCTTGGGCCCACCACAGAGACACCAGCTCTTTCTGTTTGCAGGTTCCCAGCCCAAAACCAGCAAAGATTTAAGAGCTAAAAAAAAGCTCACAAGCAATTTTTCCTGCCCACACAAACACTCCTGATACCCTGAAAGGTACCTGTTGCTTCCTGAAGGGAGCGTAACGACGTAACTGTAATGCTTCAAGTTAGGTAGGCAGCTGAAGTCAGACCTCCTGCAGTGTGTAAGAAACAAGGGATAAACAAAGGGATATATATTATGCCCCACATCTGAAAATCAACTTCACAGAAAATATGCACTAAATGATACATGATAATGGGGAAGGAAATGCCAGCTGCCTTAATGAACGGTGGTATGCAAAGCTGGAAAAATAAATTATATAATAATCTCTTCTATTCCCTTTGACATAAACTAATCTTGACCCAGAACAATAATGCTACTTTCCAAGAGAAAATAACCAAGATGCCGCTATAATCATGACTCAGGAGTCCAATGAAAAGTGGTTTGTATTTTCTCTTTGTTGTTAAAATTTTGCTTCATCTGGTAAATTTTGTGGAAAAGATGGGGACAGGGCGAGCAACTTCCCGCTGAGGCAGAAAGAAATGCCAATTTCTGCTGCTTGGTGGCTGGGAAGAAGCTGCTGAGCTTCGACCCGCCGCCTTGGCTTTCTGCCGAGGAGCCCAGGCGCCCGTGCACTGACCTGGGAGAGCGGGAGGATACTGGAGTTTCACTTCGGCTCCCGACTCACTGAACAGCCCCGAATCCAGCCAGCCACTCGCCTGCGGACTGGTGGGCACCTCTATCCCTTTCAGGAGGGATGACTCAAGGTCTGCGTTTCTGCTGGGAGGACGCAGGTGTTATTACTTCGGTTGGGTTTCTGAGTCTTGCTTTTGCATTGCTCGGCTCTGCAATGGGGATGGATTAAAAAACAAACAAACAAACAGCAAGCGCAAGTCCGTGAGAAACATCCTCATCTAGAAAGAGCAGATGGGTGAGGAAGATTCTCCCTCTTACCTTGACAGTACGCACCGGCGTGCTGCAAGAGCCTTTCCTGGTTCCTCTCCTAGGGAAGGAGGATTAAGAACCAGCTCTACCAAGAGCACAGTCAGGCCCCACCTGCGTGATGGTTATGGAAGGAGTCTACGCGCGTTGTGTGGTTGTGTATCTGTTCTGCACCTCTGTCCGTGCCTGTCCTGGCTGCCTGGCGCTACCAGAGACCCTTCCTCGGGTGGGACAGTTGCAGGTTAAACATATAAGCTCTGGATGCCACGGCCACGCAGGAGCATGTGTGTGCCTGTCCGTGAGTAGGGCCTTGTTTGGCTCGTTCCTCCAAACAAGGGGAGTTCATGCTAAGAAGCTTCTGCAGAATGTATTTATAACTTTGTGGGTTTGCTTGTGATTTGGCATCTTTTAAAGTCAAAAGACTACTCTGCACCTTATAAATCTTTCCATGACCTCTTAGTGCATAAGATATAGAAGCTTAAAACTGTGGCTGAAGGGAAGAAAAGTACAACGTGCTCTCACAAGGTGTGTGGTAGAGGCATATTCTTTATTCATAAAAATGCAGTGCATGCTTTACTATACATTATTAGACATAGTTTTTATACTGTGATAAATATAATTAAAATATCAAACAGAGAAACCCAGAAAAAGCCAGACTGGTTGAGACCAGTGGCTCAACCAGTATCCTGTCTCCAGCACTGGCTGGTATCAGATGCTGTAGATAAAAGTAGAAGGAACTGTATAGTAGCCTGTTATGAATTAACATGCCCAGGAGAGAAGTTTCTTCCTGACCCTCATCAGTTAGTGGTTGGCTTGTATGCCAAAGCATACATTACTATACATGCTCACGTATTTATATCTATCTATACCAAGAAGTATGTGACAAAACACTAAATCAGACTCCTGGTACTTTCACTTACAGGAAAGTCATTCTGAGGAAAGTATTTTTTTCACCGCAAGAGGCTCACACAGTACATAACTGGGAGAGGGAAAGGCAGCTGAGATTTGCAGCTTAATAGCGGAAACTACTTTTACAAACAGCACCTGAAATATGCACCTTTTGAATATATTTTGGGGATTTTGATTAAGCAAATACTCACACATGTGGTAGTCCTTGTAAAGCGACCACTTAAGCAGATTTGGTGCTAGACATTCCCTTTTCTGAAAAGCATAGGATCACCAAAAAACAGGGTTGGAAAGTTCAAGGTGAGGTTGACCATTCTGTATCGCTCCTGACAGCCGTTTTCTCCAGTGGACTCCCAAGAGCCACCACCACGGAGATTACACACCACACTGCTCTGACAGTGTTTCCTAATTAACTTCAACCTCTTTGGCTTCGGTTTAAGCCCATGTCTTCCTGTCCTATCCACCAGCTACAGGCAACAGATCGTCTCTCTCTCCTGAACTGCAGTCTTTGTGTTTGAGAACTGATTCTTTGTTTCCCAACCACTTTTGGGGGGATTGAAAGACCTTCAGTTATTTCCCTACTTCCTCACTAATATGTTTTCTAGATCTCTGGATTCTCTTCAGATTGCTCCATGTCTCTCCTGAAATGTGGTGCCTAACATCGAATAAAGTAACCCAGCCAAGATCTTTCAAAGACAGAAGAGTGTGGAAGGATTACTTTACGTGTCTTGAAGGTTATATTCTATTTTATACAATCTGGATGGTATTTTTTCCAACACCACAATAAGTACTGAGATCCTTACACATTTTCCCACATTTGTTCCCATTTTTTAGACTATTTCCCCAATGCCTGCCAGTGTTCAAATCCAGGATACAATAAGATGTTTTCTACCGCAGTTATAGATGACTGCTGATGATGATTCAGCACATAAAATAGGCTAATTAATAAGCTTTGGAATAACCACCTCCCCCCAGGCTTGTTCATATGCTTCATTTTACCTAAAAGGATCATATATATTCAAAGAAAACTGCTATCAAAAGAGAAATGCAAGATACATTGAAATAATGCAGCGATACTACTATATGGAGAAAATTTCAGGAAAAAATATTCAGCATGCTATTTTTTTTTCATTAAATGTGATGATGCGATGAGCTCATAAAAACTTAATTAGTCAGAATGATGTGAATGACTCGTCAGAGCTAATTTTAGCAGCCTAAAGTTAGCCAGCATTTCCACAACAGTCATCTCATCTCCTTCAACAATAAATGGAGAGGGATGAACACTTCCAGGATAAACACATCCTGTTGCCTTCAGTTCCCTAAAAAGCCAGTGTCAGATGGGATGAACTCCCCTGACAGAAGAAGAGTTCCAGTAACCACAGAAAGCCTCAACCAGTAGGCAAACATTCGATTTCTTGATGGCTGAGGTCAGATGAGATAAATCCAATTTTAGGCAACCACAAATTCAGAGATAATTATTTTTATGTTAGCATGACACTTAAACACAATGCAAATTCACCATAGTCATCAGGGGAAAAAAAGCATGATAAGATATAGCTTATTGAATGATTACAGAGATGTGCAGAGCATAGAACTTCCATGTCACAGACAACTTCAGAACATTAACATTTTCCTTTCTTCCAAATTGAGCAGACAGCTGACAATGATGAATTTCTCTGTGAAGGATCAATTTTATGCGGTCATTTCAGATCAATAAAAATATTTCATTTTGACAAAATCACACTGTTTGGTCTCCAGATTGATCTTTGTCCTTTTAAAGAAGCATAACCTCCCAAAAAGAAAAGCAAGGCTGTCATTCTGAAATGAAAGACGTTTTGATTTAAAATATTGCACAGCTCACTCTAAAACCACGATCTTCTCTCTGAGGCTCAACCTGATTTTGTGGATTCCAATTTCAAACTTGAGATCTCGTCGTGACTTCTGAACAGTGCAAATGAAGTGGGCAGCCCTCTGACCCGGTGAATGCAACCTTCATGCAGCCCTGGGCCAGCTGACGTACCACATACCTCAAGCTGCTGAGGAGCGGCAGCTCATGACTAGGAAATGAGAAAAGCTCTCCGGGATCCCACTGAGGATCCCACAGGACTAGGCAGGGTGCAAGCAGGATTCCAAAGCTACCCAGTAATACTGGGCTCAGTTATTTTTGCCAGTTCACTGCCTCCTACAAAGAGCAGCCCCACAGATTGACCAGTGTAACCCCAGGGCTCCATTTGAACTGCTAGGGAGGTGCAATGGTAATGAAAGCACAATCGTTTGCTGTGATGGTGGGGGAGTTTCAGAGCCTCCTAGAGGGACCAGGAACTGGCCTTCCAAATAAATTAGGCAGCTTTGAAAAATATGACCTTGAGGGCACACTGGTTTTGTTCCGTGCCTAGATCATTCTCTATCTCTGGGTATATCCAACACTGGGCCCTGCAGGGTAGTGAAGTTTACAGTAAGCTTACTCAAGTACAGTAGCTGTCTAGTCAACCCAAATGTGAGCTGTTTTCTTGTGCCAATGCTAAGCTGTTAGTAATACCCACGCTAACCAGTATGAAGCTCCTTCTAGCAGCTCGGCAGTGTATTACAATGTGGGCATGCTGTCACTGAGGTTTATAACATAAATACTTGTGCATCTGAGTTCATTGTTTATATTCTAAAAGCTATGCTGGGACAATTTGTTGGAAGATATTTTAATTGCAGTAAAAAGCTAGATTTGGGACTCTATTGATAGCCTACTTAAGGTCACAGCTGCTTTCTGATAAGAAATTTCTTCAGAAGGCTGATTGACAGCTGTCAGTGGGTCTTCTGGATCTTCACAACTAGTGATGAGAGCAACGGCACTGAATGACTTTTGGTTAGTACTAAATGGTTTGATCTCCAGTGCCGACGTCTCTACTTCTTTTTCCTGTGTCTTCTCAGTTCGGTTCCATTCTTGCTCCTTCCGATCCAGTTGCATGGCGCTGCAGTGAGGAGCATAAACTTCTGTAGTTTCTTCAAACTGTAAGCAATCCACCTTATAGTATTTTTTCTTTACATGTAAGACATCATTAAACCTATGGCCCCAGAGGATCTCTCTGGGGACATATGAGCTTCTTGACTGATGCGAAGTTCCTGTTGAATCACCTGTGTAGACAAACGTGACCAAGATTTCAAAGTTGTCCTTGGCCAAAGCTTTCCGGTCTAGACCATACAAGGGGCTCTCACTATCGATTTCATGCACGACTGTCACTGGTGTAACAAGTATGATCTGGTCATTTAGCAACTTCAAGTCCTTGTATTCCATCGTCATCCTCCCCTCCTTGTCTTCCTTGTAGCGCAGAAGCTGAGCTCGTACAGAGCCCTCAACCATGTGATTTGGCCGGAAATCGCCAATGCGCCACATGAGGCAAAATTTATCATCCCTTAAGCCAACTACGGCATAGTAGCTGAAGCGAATGGTTTGAGCTCTTTTTCGAGCTGTGGCCATTTTAGCCAAGGCTGCTCCAATTATGAAGGTGTCAATAATGCAGCTCAGTACTGACTGTAGGATAACCATGAGGATTGCAACAGAGCACTCCTCTGTAACACAGCGGTAACCGTAACCGATGGTCGTTTGGGTTTCAAGGGAGAATAGGAATGCTCCGGTGAAGGTATGGACATTTGCAACACAGGGGGTTATTTCTTCATCATGGAATAAATCTCCGTGTTGGATTGCTATCAGCCAGAAGACTAGTCCAAAGAACAACCATGAAAGAACATATGACAAGGAGAATATCACAAACATATGGCGCCATTTGATGTCCACCAGTGTGGTAAATATGTCCACTACGTAGCTCTCCCATTCCCCAAAGATGTGTTTGAAGTACACATTGCAGCTGCCATCCTTGTGGAGAAATCGATTCTGCAATCTTTTCATCCCCATTCCAGGGCTCTCTTGACAAGTGCCTTGGTAACTGATCTTATTTGCCTGCGTGCTTACAGGCCTATAGTGACCACTCTGCTCGGGCATCTTTCTCATACCTGCCTCGTGGCATCAGTTTACAGAACACGCTTGCGGTCCCAGGGGCTATTGGTTTTCTTTGTTTGTTGAAAATCTATGAAATAAAAGAAAAAGTTTATTTTTGTTTTCATTTCTTATGCCAGAACTGTGTTACACCAAAACTAAATACATTCACTCTGTGGCCATCATGAGCAATTTTCTGAAGAGTACAGACTCTGACATTCATTATAAAACATAGCTCAAACACTTAGGCCTGGAAATATGAGGCAGCTGGAAATACAACTAGTTAGAAATGTCCATTTCAATCCTAGGATTTGGTGTGTAGATGAAAATAGAAATCAAAAACCTTTGTGGTGACCCCACTATGAGTATTTCTTCTAATGTTCTGGTGAAGTAGCATTCAAATCAGAATGGGCTCTCACGAACAGTCACAGGAATGGCATGAACCCACTTAAAGTTAGCCAAACATTTGAGGTAGTTAATTATTTGTTGCACGTTTCTTTGTTTTCCTCCATTAGAAGAAATGCCCAGGAAAACACCCTCATTTAGACATAAAACTTCAGTAGCATGGGCAGGCAAGTTGAGTGCTAATTTGTTTTAACCAGAATATGTATCAAACACATGACCATTCATCATTATTTGTGATTCAGTATTGCCCAGAAAAACCTAGTTACAGAGCTGAACTTTACTGGGTTAGTGCTACAGAGACATATTTGTTCAATTTCTAGGAAAGCATTTACTTTTCAAATGAAAAAGAAACCTCTCTCAGGTCCTGGAAACCCTCTCAAACCATTCATTTAAACAAAGCAACAAAAAAAATCCCCCAAGTATGTAAATTTTTATTAATGAGTTTGAAACCATGCAGTATGCTCATAAAATTCACAGATGACACAAATTTAGGAAGTGATGTGAATTAGGAGATCCCTCTGTCAGAAAAAATGGATCTCTGCAGATTGCAACCATATGAACTTCAGCAGTAAGAAGTGCTAGGCTATACGTTTAGCGACTAATAACAAGAACTTATGTTATAAACTGAGACCTCATCAACTGGAATCCAATAGAAAAGGAAAGACTCAGCTGAAGTAATGAGTTACAGGATGCTTATGAGTTACTTGTAGGATACAGCACTGAAAAAGGCAAATGCCTTTTCCTTCAGGTCTCTAGCTCATTCTACCGTATCCCATCCGCTAACACACAAAACACTGACAAGTCAGAAGTGATAGGGTACACAGCTAGAACAATTCAAAATTTTTGCCAAATGTCATGCTTCTAACTGATATTTCTGAAGGAAAAAAGCTAATATTTTTGAGGAAAAACTGTCATGATTCTTCCAAAAATTGTAACCTTTCAATGGAAAAATGACAAGTACTTTTCCCACTTCTAAGCTGGTTTCAGCTGACAAAGGTTCAGATGTAGGTTTATAATGAAGCCAACATATTAGTGGAAAATGAATTTAAAAAAAAGTTTCCTAGTGGTAGTCTTTTTCCTCAGCTCTTCATTCACATTGCCTGAGTTTAAATGACTGCACACACTGCAAGGCAGAAGAGAGTCAAGCCCATAGAGTGTAATATATATTGGATGGACTAGATTAACAGACCGAGAACTCTTCTCTCATCCAAGGAACAATGACAAGCATGCATAGACAGTATTCCAAAAACACTTAAAAGCCAAACATAGTTTCCATTTCTTTTTTCTTTTCTTTTTCTTTTTCTTTTTTTTTTTTTTTTTTTCAGTACAGAAATGAATGTGACATATGGTGTCGTAGCCTCAGAATGTGGCCTTCATTAAAAAACACAACATTAATGTTTCCAAAAATACTTCTTGGAATACAGTCTTTGGAAACATTCATATGACTTGCTTTACTCATAACTTTAAACAAACAGTGTAACCTAGTCTATTGAAGACTCTTGACCTAACATTTTATAAGTCATATTTAACAACAAACAAAAACTGGAAAATGTTGAGTTATTTTTTTAAGAACCTCATAATGTGAGGTGTGAAAATGAAGCCAATTGTAGTCAGAAGCCAATATAATCTTAAATAAAAAAACATACATAGGCTTAGACTGGTTTTCGTATTGACTGATTCAAACTAGAATTCCTTGAAAATGGTCACAAACACCCTGGGACTCTAAGAGGGGCTAAACAGTTCATGAATCAAAGACTACTGAGTTGACTCCACTCTGCTGTTGCCATCAGCAAATCATCGTATTTCAAAAATGGTGTTTTGCTGGCACCATCTTCAGATTTTGTTGGTGCTGGCAAGAATCACGGACTGTCACACATGCAGCTATGTGGCAAAGTCCACTCTGATTTTACAGTAGTTTTTCACACACAGGAGACAACTTTGATCGTGAGGCACCTCGCATTAGGAACTCTACTTAAGGTATCTCCTAAGTACAGGTTGTAGTAATATATATATGTGGTAATATATATATGCTAATGGCTGGCTGTGATGTGTTTTTGACTGATATAAATGAAGCCACGTAGGAAGATGCTAGATTGGATTTTGCAAAACAATCAAAGGTATGTTTGGACTAAGAAAGGGAACATGACGCAGAACTTCCTAAACCAGAACCAAATAATCTAGCCCTGAAGCTAGATGGAGTAACAAAGAATCAGTGCAGAGCAACACTAACAGACATATATTGCTCTCAGCATCTTTCTCCATAGTGTTGAAAATTGGATTGCTCAGAGCCATTTGGCATTGCACAGTGGAGAAGTGCCCCAGATCACCTAAAATCCCTAAAGTCTTAGGAAATAGCCTCTGCAGCCACTCAAAAACATCTAAAAATGTTGCCCAGTATTTTGGGTGTGCTTGAAGTTAAGCCAAATCTGAACTTTTCCAGGCTACTTCTTAAAGTCTCTCAAGTGCAACAGTAATCATGCATCATAATTAATAACTTTCTTACATTGTCTGGTGTTGCTCAGAATATTTAAGTCTAAAAAGTCATCCTTTAACATTTTGGAATTATGTAAGTCTGTATTACGATCTGTGTTTCATTCATGGGGACATTTTTAAACAGGCACGTGATTTTCCTACTCCAAATGAGAGGCAGGGAGGCTGTGAAGCCAGATGTTCATCCTTCACTCTACTGAGACACGCTGCCTTTTTGCAGAACAGTCTGAAGACTATTATTATTATCAAATTTTAAAGAGAATACCACAGACTTACGACCAGACTTATGAACTTAAATCTTACAGCCATTTCAGAAATCTTATTTTTCAAAATGGAAATATTTTACACATCTCTAAGAAAGCCATACGAATTATATTAAAGGCCCTACTACCTGGTAAAGATTAACAAAGGGGGTGGGGGAGGATTTAAAAACATTCTCTACTCACTAAAGATCATGGATTGGTTGCTGCAAATGATTCTCAGATGTTGCCAGGAAGCGTTTTCACCTTCCTCTAACATTAACACAAAAACCCCGCGCCCTTTTTTTGTCTTGCTTTTACTTTCTGTGCATTTTTTTTTTTTCCTTTATTTTCTGGGCGTGTTTGTACACATCATGAGCCTCCTCTTGAACACTGTTCTGTTGTTCAAATGAGGAAGTGTGCTGAAATTTGCAGTACTTTTGCTAACCATTCTTATAATTGTGTTTCACCCCCAAATAAAAACTTATCAGAGATAAAAAGAGAGCAGTGAAGCCAGGCAGGATAGAAGGAAGACAGAAATAGAGAAATCTCAAAGGCTTCATTAGGGTAAATAGCAGAGAGGGTTCAGAAGTTCTTCTAAAGCACACATGTATCAGACTCAGAGCTCAGAAAATCAGCATATATTATTAATTATCTAAGCCAAGGCTAGGATCTTACTGTGCTGGATACTGAAACATGTTCAGGGAGATACAGAACTGCTCTGGAGATTTGTGTTCATGGGGTTTGCATATTTACTGCCCAAACTGGTATCTTGGAAAGTTTCACACCAATTAGATATGCGGGAAAGGTAAGTAAATTCCTGTATTTCAAAGGTCATAAATCAGTGCAGTGGCAGAAATAGGAATAAACCCAACACCTACTTATACCCAGAGCTACCACAAAGCAAACACTAGCAGAAGCAAGCCTCTTAATCGTAATTATCATTTTCATCTAGTTCCTCCTGAATAGAGCAGCTGTACCAGAATAACTTGAACTCTTGATTTTCAACAACTCGCTCAGAACAGCAATAACTTAAACATCCAGTTTAGCCTTTTAAAGACTTCCACTAAATGTAATTATAAATTTAATCTTGGTATTTTGAGTTTGGGGCTCAATGTTTTATGAGGACAATCCCTATAGTGCACCTTAACCTAACACCCAATGAGTTATTGCTACACTCATTTTATGACTATATTTTCCCATTATGTAAACAAGTAGGGGTGAATTTTTGTTCAGTGACAACTTCAGTCAACAGCCTGTTTGTAAAACATTAAGCAAAACAATGTGAAGATCTTGGTTCCCACATAATCTTCTTCTGAGATTACATCAAAAAGAAAACAACTCAGAACCTCTGAATGAAATTGGGTACTCTCACTCTAACCCCACACACGTGGAAGTGGATCTCTCTCGCTAGCATCAGTTCAGCAGTCACCTCAGTTTCCCGCTTCATTTTGGAAATGGTCTGAGAGGTTTCCAGTTTTAGGCATTGTTGTGTAACCCTGGAAGACTTTCAGCTCAGAGACCAGAAACGTGACAAGTAGAAACCTTTTGAGCTGTTTTGGAATTGACTCAAATACTTGCTCCTTTAAAAAACAAAACAAAACAAAACAAAACATAACAAAATAAAAAAAAAAAAAAAAAAAACAAAAAACAAAAAACAAAGAAACAAACAAAAAACACACCAAAAAAAAAAACAAACCCCACCACCCACAAATTCTAAATAAATCCATTACAGGACAACATTGAGAGCTTTCCTTCTTTCTTTCCTTTCACTCTTCTTTGCAAAGGGACGTAGCTGCTCCTAACACTTACAACCAATCCTTCTGCTTCTGGTATGGAATCCCCAGAGCAGGGCTGGCACACTTCATGATTCACCAGTTGCATATCTCACAACACGACTGTCCCGCAGAGGTGTTTGCTAGCAGCCTCCACCAGGTATGCTTCAGGACACATGAAA